AAAGAGTCTCGTTTGAAGTGGAAAAATTGACACTACTGCTAAGATGCACTGAATAGTACGGATTCATCACTCGACCAACACCATCAAACAAACCCTCATGTCTGATTACTACTAATTAAAAAGAGAAGATGCGTCCACTGTATCCCAGAGGCAAGTTCAGGCAAGCTTATCGCAGTCCTCGGGTTTTGTGTTGCCAAAAATTAATACTCGTTTATTTTAATGTAGGCGACTATGAATAGGATGCTTTATCAGATGAGGGGTTTGAATTGATCTCCTTGTTCTATCGCCTGACTTCTCTTTAGATCTGTGTAATTTGACTTGCAAAAATAACTCTGACAGATGCTTGCTGAAACTTGAACTGGACACTGTACGCTCAAGGTGGGGTAGGACGGCCTGGCCCTGCCAGGCCTGAGTGCGCTTGGAGCTTTCCCGCTGGAAACGGACTTCGCAGGCTTCCACCTGGGTTGCGCCGGCAGGAGCGAGGCCCTCGCCCTTTTCTCGCTCGAAATGGCCTCGTTTGGTCGCGGAGGCGATGCCGTCCGTGGGCAGCGGGTCTCTCCGGCTCCCCTCTTCGCCTTCTGGAGGGCTTTGGCGGCGGCGGGTTCCCCAGGCCGGAGCCACGGGCACGGCTCTTGGCGGCGGCGCCGGGGCACCCAGACGGGGCTCCCAAAATGCGGGCGAGGACCGATCGCCCCGGCAGGCGCCGGGTGGAAGGGACTGGACTCCTGCGGGCCAAGCGCGCGGGGCCATTTATTAATGAGCTGTTTTCGCCGTCTGAGGTTGTATGTGTTTTGCTGCTGCTGTTTAAACAACACAGCGCTCCCCTCTCCCTCCCTCCCTCCCTCCCCTCAAAACCCGACGCCGAACTGGCCGCGGAGCTCCGGCGCAGCCTTCCTTGGGAGCCGGGGTTCCTGGGAAAAGGGAGGGAGGCGAAAGCCCCGGCCCCTGCCCCTTCCCCTCCCTCCCCAGGGCGAGCCGGGCGCTGGCAGGGAGGGGAGCGGAGCGCAGCCCTCCCAACCTTGAGATGCCAGATAAAGCAGCAGCGTGGCAGGGAATCCGCACAATTAAAAGCTTTAATTAGTGTCTCCTCCATTTTCCCTTAGTTCTGATAGGTTTTATCTAATGAGATCTGGTCCCTGGCTTAGATCTGCTCGGAATGACGTGTCCGAAATGAATGAGCGCCGCGTCGCAAACAAAACATTTAATTAACAAAATTGGCCTCTAAGAGAGAGCAGTGAGTGGTGGGGAAGGGGAAGCGGGGGGAGGCCGCCCGGGCGCGCCTTAAAGGGGGGGCCCGCCCGCAGCCGCAGTGAGCGCCGGGGAGGGAGGGAGGGGGCCGCCAGGCAGCCAGTTCATTTCCCTGGTAATCAGCGGCAAGCTGCTATATTCAGGGAATGCTGTCCCTTTAATTGAACAGGCTAGGTAATTAAATGGCACTTTTCCAATAGGACGTGCTAGGTAAATCTAATAGTTGGTTATTTAATATCACTTTGAAGTCTGCCCACTCAAGCACAATGACAGCACAGGAGCATGTGAACTATTAGCTAGGAAAAAAAAAAAAACCAGGATCTCAAAAATTAATTAAATCGCATGCAATTTAGGGGGAACGTTTATCTTGATTTGTCATAACAGAATTAATTCAAGGCCTCCAATTCACTTGGGGGCAGATCTGTTACTCTGAATTAACCACAAGGGTTTTGGGGTGGTTTTTTTTCCTTTTTTTTTTTTTTTTTCCCTCCCTTCCCCTTCTCTAATGCAGCACTTGCCATTATGCACAGCCCCCCTTTTAAGTATCAATAGCTTCTGGTGCTTTTAAGGTGCTTGGTCTCTAGTTATTCTGAAGTACCTTTAATGGACTTGGCTCCAGGCGTAATTTCTGTGTTGCCTTCCTTTGTTACATTTAATATAGCTGGTGCAGAATTTAGATTAAATATAGGGAATGTACAGAAACACCAATCGCTTCTGGATCAGTAGGTCTGGATGTGCATTTCTCTTTGCTAGGGCTTGGATATATATTTGTGGGCAGGGAGAATCAGAGCGCTTAAATCTGTCTGCACGATTTGGGAAACAACTGGAACCTTATTTTGTTAGTGTAAGTTGCTAGAGATGTGTTTCTGCGGAGAGTGAATTTTGAGCAGCAAGACGGGGAAACTGGGCTGAAAAGATTTCTTGCTGCCTTCATTCCCACGCTTGTGAAAGTTCTGACGCCACCCCCCCAAAAAAAAAACCCCAAACCAAACCAAAACCCCAGAACAGGAGCGTTTGTGTGTTTGGGGGAGCGGGGAGTGCCGTCTTGGAACCACACAGTAGTTAATTTAAGGTGGCTCAGTAAAATGCTGCTAAGTGTAGAAGAGCTGCCTTGTCCGTATAGGGAACCTCTTGATGTTTGTGATTGATTGCATTGCCCAAATGTTGAAATATTAATGACCTTCTTGGACTGAGGACCCAAAGAGGAAACTGAAACCAATTCTGTCATCACAATTAAAGAGTCCCCTGGCTTTAATTAGCCTGACCTGGGGTATCTCTACCCATTGCTGCAGTTAAAGAGAAAAGAGCCCATTAAAGTCCAGTCTGAGACCGATAGCTACTTAATTGAGCACCTAAAGCCTCAAGCCTTTTAAATCAAATACTGTCCTGGACAGTCCCCCCGGTTAGATAATTAGCTCTCCAGCCTCTCAGAAACCATGTGAAACAACTTTTTCAGTAAAGAATAGTTACTGTGGAAGAGTTCCTTTACTGGTAAGGAGGAATAACGTTTTTTTAAAAGATAAAACCATTTTCCTGTTAATGGTATTACAGAACAAAACCATTCGTAACAGTGGAGAAGGAAAAATAAGCTTAATTTTCCTGGTAAATAATACAGAGCAGCGGAAAGTTGTTCTGACTTTGCAAGCAATTTTTCGGAATTTTAGCAGAAGCTTCAGCTGAAGCGGCTTCCCAAAACAGAACCGTTCTGGGAACGTGCTTAGGGAAAACCTCAGATGTGTGGAAAGCCTCTGGATTAGTTTGACTCCATTTATTAGGATTCACAGACATTGAAGGTGTACGACCGCTTCTAGTCAGAGAGAACTGTATAACAAATGCATGCTTAATGAAGACAAGTAGTGCGATGAGATCAGTTTTCCGAAAGCTGTTGTTTTCAGCTGGGTGGTGCGTTTGTACGGGGGGGTTGCGAGAGACCGCTCACCAGGTTCAGGTTCTCCCGGCCAAGTACCGCTGTCCTTTCCTCTGGGCCTTTCCTTCTCCGCCCTGCCCGGCGATGCCCTTGTCGCCACCCCCTTGCCCTCGAGTTTTGGGTCTGTGCTCTAGAAACGTAACGGTGCCTTGCTGCCGCCTCCTGCGGCGCTTCCCGTGCACCTTTTCCACGTGCCAGCTCCATTCCTAGTAACAATGGAGGAAGAAAAATGCGTATCGCAAAGCTGTGGAAGTCACCTCAATGCATCATGTAACTACGCGGAACTGGTCCTGATGTAGAAGGTGCCCTCGTAATGGACCCGTAGTTTCCCGGCAGTTTAGTCCCTTTGGCTGGAGGTCCTGGCGATGTATTAGTTCAGCTTTCCCTTTGTAACCACTGTGATTCTGCAAGACCGTGTCAATGTGTCGTGGATCTCAGACTAATTAGTTTTGAAATGGAGTTTTGATTGAACTCTTCAAATCGATGCTGCTGCAAAATTTGTTTCTCAGCTTCCTATTAAAAGCCATCTTAAGGGGCAGTTTTACTACTCTCTCTGTCGTTCAGTCGATACATTTAATAACAACTTACAGGCTATTTTCAATAAAGTGGCGACAGCAAATTAGTAGTTTGAACATGACAAGCCTCCTCTGCAAGCTCAGATTCTGAAAATTCAAAGCAATTATTTTTATACAGAGGCACACTGCAATCATTCAGATTACGGGTATTCTGTTGTAATGTGTCTCCTAGGTTGACACAAACAGAATTTTATGACTTTATTTGGACAGGAAGGAGATGCAAATATTAATATTTATTATGACACCAATACGCTAATTTGTAAATCCTATTACTATGTTTTACATCGTGCAGAAAAGTGGGTCTGCGACCCCGCCAGCGAGTTCGGTTTCCTTTTTTGCTGCGAAATGATCGTGGTAGTCTTTATAAATATTTGTGTATATTAGGGACGCGCGCAAAAGCAAATAAAGGTTTTCTAATTCTAGCTAACGCAGCCTGTAAAAGCAGAACTCAATAATCATTATTGTATTGTATTTTGAATCGATGCGTTGTGCCTTTAAATGGATTTGAAGAATTATGTATATATTTTTCTTCGCCACTCTTCTGCCTCTTCCCCCCTCCCCCCACGGCGTGTGCCCCCCCCACGGCAGATGTTGTGGTCTCATTTGATTGCATAGGAAAACTGCAGTGATACAGCAAACACCCAGAGAGATATGATGACAAATGGGTCCAGATCCCGGTAAATTACTTTCTGCTCAAATCGAAATTTCATTCAGTTTGTTGCTAGCAGAGATGAAGTAATCTAAATTGTGGACTCAGGAGCAGATAGAGGGAAGTTGGAGCAAGCATTTCATTATCAAGAGAGAGAGAAGGTTAGGATGAAAGAGATGAGCAGAGGCAAATCTAAAGTGTTGACACCATGATTGAAAAGGTTAACCCATACACATTATATATCAACCTGGATAGCAGAGAGTTTCTAATGGAAACTCTGCACTGATGGAGGTTTACTGGAGTTTCAATACACCGAGCATGATGTCTTCTTAGATATACAATCAAATCCTCTTAACCCTTTTGATGACTCATATCTCAAGATATGATTAAAGTACAAAAGAGTTCTTCATATAATTTCAAGGACACAATGCATTTAAACTCCAGTCATGAATTGTATCTTTTTTTTATGATGAACCCAGTAATCTGATAAAATGTGTGTAGTACAGAATTGTTTGTGTTTCTAGAGGTGTAAGTCAATATTTCTGATTAAATCCTGTGTAACCACATCCGAGGTAGGGCGAAGCTACCGGTTGTTACACAAAAATGTACTTTTTCGTATTATGACACGTAAGCAAGTTGGGAGACGGGGGTCAGAAGTCTAAAGTAGTTGTGTAATAAACCATTGCAGTGATGCGCAAAAATGCTTAGAGCCTCCTGTGTATTAAATTATTCATGATCATCACCTCTGTTTCAGGTTATTTGGAAATAGTGGTGCTTGCAGTGCCTGTGGACAGTCCATTCCTG